GCTAAGCGGAGTGCTTGCAGAACGGTTATTTTCCTTAATCCTGTATTTATCAAAGCATCTACTGGGGGCACTCAGGAGGCAAAACAGGCCACCAGCACGTGGGCAAACACAGGGGCTTAACGTCCAGCAGGACGAGCTGAGGGAGATGGCTCTCACTCCTGGCAGGCACCGAGGAGAACATGAACCTGGGCTAAACGTGAGCAATAATCCCCTTTTCAGAGGGGTGTCCTAGCTAGGGGATTTGCATCCACTGAGCTGTTTAGCCTCCATTTTAGATTTGAGCTCTGAGTGAATGCAAATGTCTTTAAATAAAGTCAAAGCAGAAAGGCTGCTGGGTATCAGGCAAGCATTTAAATATCACGAAGCTACAAAGGAAGTGGTAGCCTCACCTTGCTCCACATACAGCTCCAGTCATTTACACATCAAGTAGGTGAATTCGAGGGTGCAGAAATAGACCTGTAAATATATGGAGATTCTGCTTTTGCAGCAGTTCATTTGCAAAGCACATCTACTTCTTAGTGTACATTTGGGGTCACACTCCACCTCACAGCCCTCACCCCGCTTTCCAAAACAAGCTTGCTAGCTTTCCTCTGCAAGTGAAGCATAAAATACAAATAAACACCTAAGTTTTAGTGTTGTCACCACTTTCATCTTGCTGCTAATTACTATTGCGAATTATGTACATATCCAAAAATGTCTAAATTTCAGTGCAGTACGTTCTTGCTCCTTGTGTTTCTTATTTTTAAAATATACGTGACAAATATTTCTGTATTTTATATTTCTACATTCTACTGACCACGTCCAAATCTTAAGGTAGGATATTTCTGTGATCAAAATGCAACGAGGCAAAATGGAATATAGCCATGGCCCTCCACTCTTGTAAAAGATGGATTTATGATCTTTAGTGACAGGTCTTGTTGTACATCTTGATTTTTCATCTTACCTCAGGCAGTCCAGTGTCCCCCCTACCTCATGCTTTGCCATCAGCTCATTTTTGACTTAGGAGAATACAGTTTCTCACGATTTCTTGAGACAGCCATTCTTTAAATGTTTCCCATCTGAGTACCAGTCTGAGGCAACAGTGTCCAGCTTGTGAAATAGCACTTGCATTCAGAGGACAAGCTTTAGTCAAAGTAGGGATACCAAAATTTTACAGTGCCCCACATACTGTAGATCCAAGCTTGCCAGACAGTATTCCCTCTAGCTGGTGCAGCAGGCATCCTCCTTACCTTGGTAAGCTGTGTTATTGTGGGGCAGCCTTAGCTAGCCCAAATAAAACTGAGCAGAAAGGAGCTCGGAGATGTAAACAGTAAACACTAGCTTGCTGCCTAGCTCCAGCACCCAGAGAGAAAGCTATAGATAAAGACAAAGATTCAGTGTTTGAGGGAGGCAATGAGGAATTAGTTATACGAGAAGATGCTTCAGTTTAGCACTTAACTGGATTACAGATGCTGGCCGCCTGGGGCTTTGTTGTCTCCTTGCAGGCCCCCCTTCAGCAGCAGGCTACCTTCTGCTCTAGCCCAGAACTTCACACCTACCCCAGGCATGTCAGCCAGGTTCTTCCCTCTCCTTGTTTGCCAGCCCTCGCTCTCTCTATGCTCCAGGCAAGCCTGAGCCTTTCCCTCACCATTTCCCTTATCCTCACCCAGAGCTGAACCAGCTCTTGAAGCAAATGTTCACCCCCCCCTCCCCCGCTCTTCAGCTGAATTTTGCTGTTTTCAGCTGCGTCATTCATTTCTAGCTCTTACTGTTCCTTGTGGTGTATGTTGTCATTCCAGTTACGTGCCTCTGCTCTGTGCACTGGTCCATCCATCACCTGCCTGAAAACCTGAAGTCTCCAAGCATTTTCATTTACCGCCACTATTACCAGCAAGCAGTTGCTGCACACACCCGTGTCCTGATCTGATCTCACCAGCCCCATTAAAACCTGTCTCTCTCCAGTTACCTTTAGCGACTCGCCCTCTGACAAGTTTCACTTGTGTCTCCTACAAAATAAATCCCCAGATGAAGGCTTCTGGCAACTTGGGTGTGCTGCCATGCTTAAACATCCCAGGATGGGCTGACGGTGAACTGGCCAACGTAACAGAACTCAATGAAATGACAGATAGTTGGAGGAGCTCTAAGAAATTACCTACTTAAACAGCAGTTGACGAATAGCCTTAGGCTTCTGGAGGCTCCCATTTTAATCAATATTAGCAAAATAGGCAATCCTGAGTATGTCTGCCCATACATAGATTCCAGATGGTTTTACTGTATTTAATCTTGTCTTACTCCCAGTCAAAAAGCTGAATAACTGTGATCTGGAATGGCTGGGAATTTGAGGAACCACAACGGACCACAGAGAGCATTTCAGCCAGAGACTGTCACATCAGTTCAGCACAAACAGTTGCAGCAACCTTAAACAGATAAGGTTTAAAAAGAAATGCCAGCATTGGTTTAATTCAAGTGAAACCAGACGACAGCAATTCTCCTGTTTGGACCCATGTTTCCAAGCTCAACGCCTACAAATTCACATTCTCCATTTCCATTTCACAATCAGATACAAATGGGGACTTTTTTGTGATGGTTGTGAATGTTTTATTAGAGTCTTATCAATAAGTCACTTCTCTGAAAATCAGTTTTTCGGAACTAAAATCTAATCTGGCAGTGTTCAATAAGTAACAAGATGAACTCAGCCATGCAAACAAAATATTACTAAGTTACTTTAATAACATTTTATCACAACAACCTCAGGAGGAAGAGCGTGTCCTGAAGACTTAGACAGTTAATCTTGGATTTTATTAATATTTTGGATTCTTTTTGTTATGCCCTAGCCTCTGGTACAAAGCTGTCTTCATTTTGATGCTAGAACGGGATATATCTTTGGGTGCATTTACGCCTGTGATTCTTGTCTTATTTTATAGCGCTGTGATAAAAATAGCACCATCAGTGTTCAGTGCTCGCCACGGTACATTTAAGCCACTGGTCATTGCACTGAAATGGAACTTCTGGAGAAACTGAGCTTATTCCTAGACAGTAATGCCTCACAAAAGGTCTAGCTCCCAAGTCTCTTCAGTATGTGCCATTCATTTTCTGTTCAGCACCTCTTATGATGTTTATTAAAGTAACTTTATTGGGTTATGTTGCACACAATAGGATATTCAAAACTCCATCTTGACCTTCACAGCAGTGCCTGGAAGATAACCAACAAACATTTTCTTTGTATGTACAATCAGCATTCTGAGCTTGCAGCTACTTGTTGACAAATGCTTACCAGTTTCAGTTAAATACAAGAAAACCTAAAAACATAGAGACATTTGAAAACAAGCATTACCGTATTTTTAATGTATTTTGGATGGTTTAGCTCAACTTATTAATTACTCTTGATTTCCAGGGCTTAATTACACAAAATTTTTACAAAAGCAACATTATGTCTTAACATTAATCAACCATAACATTTAAGATTTTTTTTTTTATTGTGCAAAACTTAAGCAATGTCTTATTAGTACAATAAGCTGAAAAAGCAAGGGATATTTAAAACAATATTCACATTCAGCGTGCAATTTTTATCCCTACCTTCCATCTTTTGATGTGGAATCTAGAATTCCCATCAGTAAGTGCTATCTGAAAATACCAATGGTTTGTTTCACCTTTTGTTATTTGGAGGAGACTCAGAATACATTTTTGCATTAGGTTTTTATGCACAATTAAAACAGCTGTTTAAGTTGACAAATACAAATTAGACACTGAAAAGGGTGAAAAAAATATACTGAAGGCATCCACCTAACTGGTGGCATGACTGATAATTTATAGCTTATATTCAAAAATATAATCGATATTCTGATTTTCCATTTTGAACTCAAGATTTTAGCAAATAACACAAAATTTTGTTTAAAAAATCTGGCATCTGCTTATTGAAAAAAGTAATTTAATTCAATAGTTAATTTTAATTAAAATCTTTAGCTTGTTAGATATTTAAGTGCTACCAGTCAAGGCAGTCACAAAGACTGTTTGATGTTTACATAGCACCATATAGATAAATATCTCCTTCAGAAAGAGAGAGATTATGTTCAGCTGGGAACATAATCAGAGTATTTCCTGAATATTTTAGGTATCTTTGCCTGCCACATCATAAATATGTGCAACAATTCCTTAATTTGAGAAAAAAATGCACAGAATTCCACTCAAGCTTTAAGATGGTGCTATCATTAATTCAAATTCTCTATGTATAAAAGTATAAAGAACTCTTCAGTAGTCAATTTAATATTCAAAAGCAGATCAATAGTTTTATGTAAACTTGTTAAAAAACAAACCACCACGTAATTTGGCTTTAAAGTGACAAAGTATTTTGCTTAATATAATTTACTAAGCATGTGAAGAACTAATGTCAAACTACAATTTCAAAAAGATGCAGAGACTGGATTATCTCTGATACTGAAATACTCAATTAAAATATATAATTATATAAAGAATCTCCAAGAAATATAATTATAATTCATTACAGTGGTATTGTTCATTCCGTCCTTTCTATAAGGAGGCTGCATGTTAACTAAAATACACTAACCCGTTGTAGTTCCCAGTTAGAGAACATCAATATTCTCCCTCTGCCTCTCCTCCACCCTGAATTTACTAAAAAGCAGACTAGGTTTTCTACCTAAAGAAAAAGGGAATTATGCTCACTGTCCAGATGGCCATTCCCTAGCCCTCATCAAAATCTTGTCAACTTATCTACAATTGTTAGGTTTAGGCTAGTAATAGATCTTGCAGTAAAGTGTTAAAAATAGATGGAATAACTAACAAGTCGTGTTCTGTATTTCAAATCACTGAAATCTACATATCAAAATATTTATGGAAGCATGAGTGCTGGTGACATCATCGACTCTTACAAACTGAGCCTTCCATAAAAGTTGCACAGATGGAAGAAGATGCCTTGAGATAAACGGAAATAAAATCCAATAGAAGAAAGATTTCCTAATATTAAGCCCCAATTCCTCACAAACTAACACACATATTTCAGTGACAAACACTGCTCATTATTTTGGCCCTGTCCCTCTCCCAAAATCAGCTTCATAACCTGTTATCACTCCAATCAAAAAACCCAAACAAACACCCTCTTAAAATATTGTGTATGGAGTTCTGAATTCCAAAAATAAAATGTATAAGCAATTTCATATTCTTGCTACAAAACCTCAACTGAAAAATGAATGTTTGTAAAGAAACCAAATTGCATTTTACACATTGTATCTATATCGATACAGTTCTCTGCGTTAGGGGAGAATTCAGCATCTTTAGAAGTTCACCATGTGCAAAATTCAATTACATTTTGAAGAAAATTCCAGTTTAAAAAGTTATATGTAATTTCATATATGTCAGGCCAATAATCTAAAGACCAATCTCAAACAAAGCTCTACAAAGTTGCTTCAAATCTCCCTGTACCCCCCAAAAAGGCACTAAGTGGTTTAAGTGTGCAAATGGCTTCTTAGAAGAAACAGTGTGCAAACAGAGCCTGTTCCATTAGCTCCACATTCTTTAGTGATTTCCTAGAGAGTATTGCTATTAAATGCTATCTACCATATGACTTTCTAAAGAACAGAAGACAGTCAGTCCACAGAATCACAGATATCTTTCACTTTCTGATTGAAGTCTTCAGGTTGATCAGCATACACATAATGACCTGCACCGAGGATAGCCTAGAGGATAAAGGTGAAGAAACAGGTGAAAATCACAAGAACGTAACAAACAAATAAATAAATACCGGGGTATGTGAAGAACCTGGCTTTTACACATTACCTACTTGATACATTATTATTTGAAAGGACAAATTTCAGAACTGGAACTGATTTCTTGCACCCAGCCTGTGCTAATGCAGTTAGCACAACTGCTGCCAGGTGGTGGTATCATACATCCTAAAAAGGACTGTAAACATGAGGAAAAACCTGTTGAAGGGAATTTGCTACACAGGAAAAGAGAGTAAAACTACTGCTTATTCAGCTGCACACCTTGTTGAAAAAAAACCACCATTCAAGCGGACACAAGTCACTGCAAAACAAACTTAGGAGAACGTGCTTTACATATCAAACTTCTGATTCATCTTCATCCCCTTCATTCTCCACTCAAATAGTTCTGCCAGGTTGCTCTTTAGTTCTGTAAGTGTTTGCATTAGGGAGGGCATCAAATCATTTGTATTCTCTTATTATAAAAATGATATGAAAGAGATTAAAGAAAGTACTAGGATAAATGATTAAGAACTCAGAAGCTTAAATTGCTAGGGATTTTCTAGACTTGTGGAAGCAAATTTCAACCCTCCGAGTTAACGACTGCTATGTTAAGCAGGGACAGGTAAAATCCAAATGATGCAATATATGGGGGGAAAACCCCACATCTGTGACCTAGATTATTTCACAGCCACTATGTAACAAAATTAAGAGCTTAAGTAACCACACAGAGGGTGGGTTACCCTATTTCTATAATTTATCCTTCTCTGCCAAAACTGGTACAAAGCAAGCCATCATCATAGTGGACAGCAAAGGTACTTGACCTATTTTCTTCCCATTTTATAATCAGTCCAAGATTAATTTGTATTTAAATCTATTTTTCCCCTCCCTCCATTAAAACACTCCCTCTTAAGTCTCTAAATGAAGCCCATAAAAGTATAGCTATGTCATTGTGTTAAAACCCCCCAAAAACTCAAAGTAAAAATTAATCAGAAATAAACACACATAATAAAACCCCAGAACCTCTGTGCATTTTACAAAGGATGGCACTGCCAGTCCATATCTCAACCTCAGCCTCATGAGAACCCTTTCCCTCCTATGGTTTTCTGAATGTCCCTATAATTTCTACCACTCCAACTTCTCCAATTTACCTTTTAGAATCTGTATTTGGTTTGACAGAATTTTAACCTGGAATACAATAAAGTTTTCCACAGTCCCTTCTAAAAGCCATTGACCAGACTGGAGAAATCCACTTGAATGGTATATGCTTATCCTAGCACATTGTACACTTCTTAACAGTGACTTTTTGTTACAACTTTCTCTCTAAGTGGTTAAGTGACACTTTCAGTCTGGATGTCAACGTTTATGAAATGTATTTGTGCTCTTTAACACATGCAAACAGTTCAATAACAATGTCTTCTCTCTGAGTTCCAGCTCTGATGTCAGCTGTATCAAGATTATAAAATTTTATTTGAATGACTTGTCATAGTATACTATCGACATCACATATTGTACACTTTGGTCCAGATAGATCTAGACATCTGTGTACGACAGCCGGTGTATTAAAACGTTTTATCACCTCATAGCATTGTAACATAGATGCATAGTCAATTATCACGGCTGACTGATGTGACAATGCGTGAAGAATACTTTTAAATTAGTTTGTTTTTATAGAAATCAACAAAAAATTGCAGTGTGCACATTTGCATCAAGTTGCAAGTACACACATTTTAAATGATAATGCCATACCTCTAAACAAGTATGTATTAGCTAGGAAGACAACGCTAAGTATTTATTTAATGACTTAAAGAAAGATGCTTACCATCAGAGAAAACAAAAGCATTATACAGACAGATTAGAGCAGTTTATGAGAGCCTCCTCATTATGACATACATATATGCAGATATTAGGACTGCTATGGTTTAAAACACAGACAAAACCCCAGATACTTACCAGTGACCACAAAAACTACTTGTATTAGCACGTTGTAGAGCAAAATATTTCGTAGAGCAGAAGAATGACCTTGCTCAAAGATCAGATTCAGCTTCTAGTGCTACAGTAAGTTTCCCTCCTACTCTGGGAACTCAATACTCTTTTGTCGAGGTTTTCTCTGATCTAACACTCGTTTTCTCTCTCTGAGAGAGAAATCAGAAAGTTATTACCCCAGGCTTTAAATCAAAGGGCCAGCATTTCCACAGTTGGTATAAAAAACATAGATATGATTTAAACAAATGCACACAATAAACAACTGCTTTAAAAGTCAACTTACTATCGTCTTCACATACGAATTTGGTCTCAGAGACTGGATAGTGCTGCCAGAATTGCCATCTATACATGAACGTGCTCCATAGACCACAGTGATAGGAATGTCTTGATCCATTTGTGGAATCCGTTGCAGCATCGGCCTTTTTGCCCATCCGTAAGGAATAGTCATGTTCTTGAAAGCTGTTTCACCACTTCAAGTGATTCAAAAGGGTAAAAACAATTAAATTTCCCATCGGATCTGCCTTTTCTCTAAGTTGGAGTATCTGTGCCTTTTGGTAACACAGAGTGCAATAGTACATAGTATCCCAGAGTGCTAGGATTTTTTACTATTAAGAAATACAAGTTTTCGAGGTTTGCATGTAATTTACAACAGAAAGAGCCTACGTACTGAAAGAGCTACAGTACTGAGTGGTAACACTTGAAAGAATGAAATGCCTTATTTTTTAAACTTTTTTAAGAAATTCTTTACAAATTAAACCACTGGAACAATTTTTTAATTAAAAATCAGTTCCCAAACACTCTAAGAATTAACACACAGGTAGTTTAGAAGAAATACAGAATTAGGATAGCTTTTGCATTTATCAGTTTCTGGAATTCAGAAAAGGTGCAATGCTATTTTTTTCTTCAGTTAATACAATTAAGTGTTACAATTTAAAAAAAAAAAAAGCATGCCCACTGTTGCCACAGCCATTGGAGGGAGTAGCAGGCACTCAGTAAATGAAAGACAGACTTCAAAACGTACACTGGGAAACTCATACTCACCTGGGTGACTGTACATTGCAGTGATAGATATATTCAGCCACAGTGTTATCATCAAACATTGACGAATATTTGCGCTTGAAATCTGGTCTTAAACGCTGAACAAGGCTTAATCCTGTTAAAACAGAAAACACTATTAGCGGAGGAATTAGTATAGACAACTTTATCAGATTGCCTAACGCTTTTCATTACAACCCTCCAAACACGTTCCCTTGAAACTCGTGGCTAAGCTTGATGACTTCTAAACTGATGTTTTGGTTCACCACTTGCATGTCTGAGGAAAACATGACGGCATTACACCAAACAGGAATGAAATATAAATATTCTAAAGGATTTTATGTGCACCAGAAGAGGGGCAATTCAATCCCTGCTGAATATATACAGGGAATATTTGAGAAGGGCCACTGCAGCAACAGAAGAAACATGCAAAGGGGACCAGCAAAAGGGCTAAGCAGAGTATCTTTCTGCCACCAGTTTAGTCTCACGTGATACCAACGCTGTCCTTCTCCTTGCTCTGGCAGCACTGGGTGGGCCAAAAGCATCCCACCTTTCAGAACCAGAAGGCACTGTTGAAAAACCTGGGCTGTTTTTCTTCATTAGATATAAGTCTGTGCTCTCCTTTTACAGAACAGTCGTCTTCAGCAGTTAGTTCATCTAACTAGTGTTTAGTTGAAAGAACAGAAGTCTATGCTGAAAAACAGGTATAGAAATCTTGACATGAGACACCAGAACTAGTAAAAATTAAGAGATTGAACTTAGGAAAGCTATTGTCCCCATGCTCTCTTAACAGCCAAAGTAGAGAAGTGGGTCCCTTCAGGGGCCAGTTCAAGGTCTCTGAAGTTTAAGCTCCTATTCTGAATCACTTCTTTAAGGAAGCAGCCTCTTCTAGTTGATCAGACGGATCTCTGGGACAAGGGCCTCACCAAAGGCTAATCTTAGTCTAAGAATATTATTCATCCCTGAAGAGATAAACCCAAGTGGTAAACTGTGAGCCTATCATATGAAAATACTGTTGTTAATCTGTGCAATTATGATGATGTCACCTCTCCCCACTTGCCTCTGGCCAAAGGCCTGGTGCTATTTATGTAGACCTTGTCACAGTGATCTATGCTTTTGTAACCTTGAGATTAGACTATTGCAACACGCCTTTACGTATGCTTTGAATCAATTTAGAAAACTAATACACTGCAAGAGAAAATAATTCCCTTATGAAACAGTGATTTAAATCCTGAAGCGATGAAGATTTTGCAAACATTCTGCAATTTGCTCTGCTGCTTGTATTTTCTCTATAGAGGGTTCAATTGCTGGACTTCTGTCTTTTTCTGTCTGTCTGGGGTTTTTTTGAACACAAACAATACAGCTGGCTTGGAATAAGAGTACCTGGAAGAAAGAGACTAATTCTGCGTCTTCCCCTGCTATCAGCATAGAGGCCACAGCATTCCCATTTCCAATAACTAAGGAACTAAAAAAGTTACCAAATTTCAGAATTCACTTTCTATTTTGATAAAAAGCGTTTTGAATGTGGGTCCAATCTCAAAACTGTTCTCCTTCTCTGGGAATTTACAGGGAAGAAACAAGGAGTCAAGGCATCTCTGAACAAATTTTGGAATGAAATCACACTGGTTCATTCTCGTAATGTTTATAGAAGACACCCTCAATTGTCTGGCTGATGTTTTCCATAGTGTCTATGGAAACGCTAAAAGAAATACTAACATTGAAGACTGAGTTCCACAAAAAGGGTGTGGTCACAGTGACATTACTGTTGTCTTGAGGAATTTTTAGGCATTCGCTCTAGGAATGGAATTCACAAATCCAATCTAAGCACTGAAACCCCTATACTGTGAGCCTCCTGGGTGATTGTTCCAGTTAAGTGAAGGAAAACATGCAAATCAACTAACTGGAAACCACTCAACGAAAAAGATCTCTCTGGATTCTGTCTCTCTTCCAGGTTTCAGTATCTGCCTAAGGGTCCGATTAAATATCCATGTGATACCATCACGATATCCCAAAGAGCCTGGCTCACATTTAAGTGCCCAACCCATACCTTTGAACAAGAGCAATTGGCTTTATAGTGAGAATCAGACAGCTACACCTGCCCAGCAGCTTAAGCACATGTGCATGTAAAAGGAAACCTGGGTTCGGTTCAGTGCCTTCATCAGGTTGGGTCTGATGCCTACCTCACAGCACAGTGTTTAAACTCACCCTTCCCTAGGAACTATGCTTCACCTGTCAAGAACTGCACATGAAGTTGATAACGGAAAACTTTTTTAACACATGGAGTGAGAAATGGATGAAAAATTTTGAAAAACACTGCCCTCCACAGCAACCTATAAGCGAGGCTAGGTTGGGGATACCTTGCCGAGATAGGGTCTGTTTCAGCAGCATGGTTTTGGCTGCGCTTACTTGCTAAGGGAGACAACTTCAGCTTTGAACTCTTCCCCATGGATTGATTTATGCATGCATTTGTTATTGGATAAAAGGCATTAAATCAGTACTTATCACTCAATATGCTTCAGGTTGTTTTGTTAGCCGAATTAGCATTTTACTTTAAAAAAAAAATCTGTTTGTACAAATCACGTTGCTTGTCTGAAAAGCTAATTTTGTCACACTCCCGAAAACAATAAAATAGATCAGCATATTAAAATATATATTCTATAGAAAGAGATTTAGGAAACAGATGTGGTTTAAATGTAAACAAAGCCTAGAAATGTCACTAGTTTATCTTCAGACTGAATACTAAAAACGATGAAGAGGTGAGTTAATTGTAACTTGTGAGGGGCCTGAAGGCTATCTTTTTCCAAGCCTCTCCAGCAGAGAGATACTGGAGAGATACTCATGTAGTACAGAGAGTAATAGACAGATAACCTCTTTCCCCTCTAGAAGGAATACATATGATGAATTTAAGATTTGATCACACCCTTCTCCCCACTCCCCACATAAACTAAAACCATAGTATTTTTGGTCATTCCTACCTAGTCCTAGTATTAGGGTATATAGAGTTTATCTAACATCTCATCAGTGCTGTTGAAGAAATGTAGAAATATGAAGGATAGGCTGCCACTGTAATGCAGGACACCAATGAGACCCACAAAATTTGCTAGAGTAGTAAGAAAATGGCTCATGGAAAGAACCCAGTTTCAATTTAACTTCTCTAAACTCAGGCCAAAGACAAATGAGTTTATGAGAGACTGCCTCCTAATGTTAACCACATTTGGAAATCCTGTTTGTCCATCAAACTGCAGTTGCAAGGGAAACTAAATGGACTGTGACTGGAGGCAACCAGAAAAAAAACCTTTTCACATTCATGCCTCTTTGTCAGGCTTCCCCAACAGATGTCCACATAATCTGACGCACTATAACTGTAGTCTACAATAATATAATGTAGCTTGCTATAAACTATCGTACTAGTATTTCTAATAGAAAGAGCTTGCCCTCTTGTCCTAAAGAGTTCATCTTTCCTCAACCCCTCCCACTTTCTCCTGCAACTCTTTTCTCTGTGGGTGACATAGGCTTGCAACAAAGCTTATCTTCATGTGGTATCTGTCCCATGTTTATGTTTAACGAAAACAGAAACAGTATTTAAGAGTAGCTAAAACTTACCAAAGGGTCCTGCTATCCTCAGCCCAGCTAATGGATTAAATGGACTCAATATAGCTCCTAGTGCTTTGATCCAGATTGGAATTGGTCTTTCGTGCTCAGCATTGTCAGGCCTCTCTGGAAAACCCCATGGCTCCACTAAGATAAGATGTTTGACCCTGTTGGCAAAAAAAGTTTAAAGGTTTAGAGTACAGTAATTATTCTTTGAGTACAACGGAAATGTGCTATCTGTGGACTATGCAACCTGTTCTAGTCAGTTCTACCATAGTGGCTTATTACCTAGTTTCTGATTCATCAATGGTTTTGCTTTTGATTGCTAATTAGAGAGAGATTGAATTGCAACTAATCGTATATATGAACACCAGAAACTTGGAAGATCATGTCACAAAGAGAAACTCAGCATTCAATAGACACCCACCGTCACAGACATTTGAGAAAAAGGCCAGTCTTGTTTCTGTTTTTAAAAATAGCCTAATCTATATGCTCAGTCAATATTATTTGCAGGAGCAGTTTAATTTGAGAGAAAAGATAATTGCATCTGTTTAATTTAAGTAAACTTGCTAAAAGTCTTTCTTTTCCAAGCCATCTAAGATCTCTGTTCTAAGAAGAGATGCAATTAATCTGAAAAATCACCTTATCAAAGTAAAATTTGAACTGAGAGAGGCAGAGCAAAATTAGCAGATGTTTTCTAAATTTATTGATTTTAGGTCATGAAAGAAACACCAGAGAGACAATTTATAAAATTATTACTCAAAGGAATCTCAGTACGGAGAGCATAGTAGGAGTCTCCAGCACATGCAACTATCAATCACTTCATGCTGTGAGTCCCCCTCAAGCAAAAAATCTATTTCACCTTGGTAGATTGGAATCATCCATTTCTGTTTAATCCCATAATAATACCTACCCTAACTGTCCTAGATACTGTCCTGTCGATTTCTGAAAAAGCGACTCTTAACTATAGTTTTGCATACTTAAGGTGATTTTCCATGCAAGCTTCATCATCTTTACTTTCTTCTTCATGAGTTCCTTCTCTTTCAAAGCATGAGATTAGATATTTAATACAGCAGAGTTCTTAGTGCCTAAAACGATGTCAGAAGTGATTCCAAAGACTATTTCTGGACTATAATCAGTTGGGAAACCAAAAATCTGTGCTTGAAATGAGGGGTTGGAAAGGATTAACCTCACCAAAATGTTTCTTGGCTGTCAGCTCAGCAATAGCGTATTTGCACACAGCAGCAAACACCAACGGTAAGAGAGGACAGGGTAGAATTTAACTATACAAACCAAGCAGGAGAGATTAGAGGCTAAGGAGCGCAAGCAATGAGGAGCCATTCAGGTCAGCCACACATTCTGTGCACAAACTATGGCGTAAAACATAACACAGCAAACACATGAATAAAAATAGAGTAAGCTTTTTTTCATCTTTCCTTTCTTAATACTTTCCTTCCTATTTGGCATTTCTCCTTTTGGTAATCAGGCCTAAAACATAACCCAGGATAATGGGAAGTCGACCATGAGTAAAAAGTAATAGACCAGAAGTTGCAGTATTTGAAAATCATGACCCACCACCACCCAGGAATATTCTAAGTGGGAATCTTTTTGGAATAGAAACCTCAGATGTCCCATGAACAACTTTGGTACAATGTAGTAAATCAACAGATCATCTAAGCTTGGAGAAGCAGATCTACTTTCATAACAATATGTATCCAGAATCCCTTAAGCCTCTAATGCATTGTTAGATAATCTGGCTGAAAGCTGTGCTATATTTATCACTTGATTCAATGCTGTCTTAAGATCCTACCAGTCAATTTGCTAATTAGATGGTGTTAGTTTGATTTCAGAGAAACATTAGTAATGTGAGAGCACAAACTGAAACACCCCCAAATTAATTAACCCCAACTTAAGCACAGTGAAGCATGAAAACAAAGTGTCACTTTCGAGGTAAGTCAGCAGGGGGCAGAAACAATATCTCATCTCACAGGGATAGGATAGCGCCATTTATAGATACTTCAGAAAAAGGGGTAAGGAACTTGTGAGTGATCCCTACAAAAAACTAAGTTAGCTAGAAGTTGCTTTATGCCCAAAAGGATAACAGGTTTACATCCCTAGAGCAGAGGATTGCATTTCTTCATTGTAATTCCGGATTTAGACACACACATACTTTCACACATCATTTCCAGCAGCATGTGCCAGCTGTTGTCCACTTGGAAAGAAAGAGGCAAAGTGTTTTAGGAAAAAATGATGTATGAATTTATTTCAAAATCTCCAAATGCGAGACAAAGAAATGTATATGGTATAATCAATGTGAATATAAAAGAACAAGATATGTTTTGTATAATATAGAATCTGCCATACGATATGGAAAGCTAAACTTATATTCACACTTTTTCACAGGAGTCCACTATGTGTATCTAAACAAAAGCAATGTCCTTTTTTGATACAGAATGACCTCAGCTGGTGGGATCCTAGCTCACCAGGGACCATATAACCAGACTATATAAAAAAAAGAGACAAATTATTAGTTTAAGGGAAAAAAAAAAAGGATTAGCTGTTGGCCACAATGTGGTGCAGAAAATGCTGATGAAATGCAATTACAGGATTGCTGCAGCTGGGTTGTTTTGCAAAGAAGAAATATGAAGTGGCATACAGACAATTTAAATCAAACAGTCACTAAAATCATTTTTACATCACCATGCTGGCACCAGGCTGACTGCTAGTATATAGGCATAAATTACCTAGGCAAATTGCGTTCAGAAGTTTCAGCGTAATCCATAATAATGGGAAGTTTGGCAGAAACAGGCCTATTTTCCCTTCACAAATCTATGTTTGATCAGAGATGTCACAAAACATTCACCCATAAATACGATCTTTGCTATTTTGCTTTATAACATGGCAAGGGGGTACTGAACAGAAACAAAGAGGTACAGAAAAGTACACAGAAAAGCATGTTTACCGTATCTACTTATTTCTACTCTCCTGGAAACAAAACATAAAATTAAAACTTTGGGCTTAAAATTCAGTATCAAGTTTCCTTAAATCAGCACAGTCATTTACTTAAAGATAATCTATAAAGAGCCTGATGAAATAAAATCTGTGTTAAAATCACTAGTCAAATACAGAAAAGGCATTCCTTCATTCCTTTATTTTCACGTACCTTGATGGGTATTTTAATGAGTAAGCAGCAGCCAGGAAGCCACCTAGGTTGTGTCCAAGCAAAATCATTTTTTCTAACCCCACCTCCTTTCTCCATTCTTCTATGGATTCCACAAACTGATTTTCTGCTTCCCGAGCATCAGTGTCAAAGTGTGGTCTACTGCTATGTCCAAATCCCAACAGGTCGAAAGCATGAACGGTCCTGTTCTCACAGAGATCTTCAAAATTGAGAGCCCACAGTCCAACACCTCCTCCAAACCCATGTAGGAGAACAAGTGGAGTTTTATGTGAATGGTCCGGAGAGAATGTCAGTGTCCATATTTTATTTCCATTAGATATATACACATATCGTTTACTGTATGTGCTTGCAATACCTGAAGAAAGAGTGGGAAAAAATGATGTTGCTAGACATGTCTGATAAAATATGAAGTACATTCTACAGAAACCACTGTTTTAAATAGGAGCTCCCTTTCAAAGGAGAGAGCCTACAATCAAATATCTCAATAAGGGAACAATGAAAATCTAATTCTAAACCTGTTTATTTCATTACAGTGTAAAAGCCATATTTAAAAACTTTTTTGATTATATTTAATGTAAATTTATAGAAAATCTAGTTATATCTATAAATCTTAGTAAAAACCAGAGACTTACATTTTAGCATTTTGTCCTCAGCCTCTTTAAGATGTAGCAGTGATGTGGGACACCAGGCAGGAAGCCAGCTGAATAACCATCCTAACCTACAACAGCATAAAAGTTTCTTGAGCAAGATGGTAATTTTTTGCACCATTTGATGCTTTGAAGACATTTCTTTTGCTGCTCTTCATAAAAGAACCCATGTAAATTACACACCATGCAGGACAGGAGTGTGCAGTGGGAGGGAATTCATTTTCTCCTGACTTTTGTAAAGTGGTGTCATGATCAGGAATGTTCTTCAAACAGCACACTGTTTCTCCACTGTGTGTTCCTTATCAGAGTATACTGATCTATCTCCGTCAGAGCAGGCTGCTTCTGAGAACCTGGAGACATCAGCCCTCATGCCGACCCAACAAGCCTGGCAGGATATATAACACAATCATTGGGGTTTCCAGCCTCCTCTCAAGTTCCCTTGGAAGTCTGCCTGCACACACATTATATTTCCAAAAAAGTAGTAAATTGTGTGCTCGCCAGCGCAACTTGAACTGACTCATACACTAGATAAATTTTAAAAGTGAAAAATAAGCAGGTTCATTCTAGCAAACCAAAAACTTTAGGGCCTTCATTACCAACTTAGAAACAAAGTCCCAGAGGAAAACAAAACACCAATTTCAATTCCCCCAACAGAAGCTGCTTTTCCAGCTGTCAGTTACTACCTTGGCAGTACTAGCCTGACCATGAGAGCAGGGGGAATGACTCAGCTAGAAGCATTGCCTCACCAAGAGTGCTTCAAAGGACACAACAACTGGGTACAGCTCTTCCTGGGTGCTAATTTTTCCCTTGTTTTCAAAATGGAATCCTCTTTTTCCCTCTTTCACCTGTTTTTGAAGTGGCTCAGACTATCAGTGCAAAGGCTGCTACTGTAGGACCCCAGACCATTCCTCACAGGGAAGAGGATAAGGTCACCAAATTCACAATTAACTTAGTTTCCTTAGCACTTTTTTCCTACACTGAACTGCTTTACAGTTAGTTACAGTATTTTCAGGACTGAACACTGCGAGTATTAGTTGTACAACAATTAATGTTAAAAGACTGTAAGGTTACTAATGTCCAATTTTTCAGAGTGTACACAACACATCGATAACAAATTACAGATCTGGCCCCAAAAGTTCTTTATTCCAAAGGACCTTCTCCCCACCTTTTTAGGGGGCTGAGCTACTCCAGCTGCATAGCTACTTAAGTTTATGATGCAACATGGAAGGTTTTCTGGGGATTCACAATGCAATCGCAAGCAGCACTGTTCAGATTCACAGAAACATATCAGAGGATATAAAGAAAAAAAAACCTCAAACCATACCTGATCAAAAAGGATTAATCATCCAATCACCCATGCCCACTGCTATTCAGTATTATTTACTCCTCAGTGTGTGAGAAACACACTGATGTCTGGCTGTTCTGTAAATAACCTTCCTAAACCACCAGACCGTGGGAATCGTTATAATGGTATATTGAGGGACTGGGAAGGGTCGGTTGTATGTCTTTCCATGCCACGTCCTCATGCACTCTAAGAAATGAAGGAACTCAGCATCTTACAGCAATGGGCATCCAAGTTTTTTGCTTCCACATTAATCTACACATTTATTTAAAAGTAAGATTTTTAAGAGATTAAAGCTGGCACCAGCCAAGAGCAACTTCACCAGCAAATAACTGTAAAATCTGAGTTTAACAATACCACTAATTGTGTCCAATGTTATTAATTACTCTGGTAAATTATTAAACAATAGCTATGTCACCACCCTTCTGAGCCAAACTTTCTGCTAGTTATATGCTCAGCTAGGCTTTTTCATTCATAACTCTTAGGTCAGAAGCACAAAACCCAGTCACTATTTCCCCCAAGCCAAAACTATATGAAATGTTTTTTCTTGGCAAAACCACTGATTTAGCAAAGAAATTTCTTTGAAGATTTTTTTTTTTTAACGCAAATGTATCGCTGCAACATGTCAACATGAAGACAGTGCAGAGATATGACCACAACAAAATAAAAATGAAATCTACAGTTCACCATCCCAGAATTTTATTTCCCAGTCTTAGGGAGACACCTGGATACTCAGGAAAAATATTTAGAAAATTGTATCAGAATGGGAAAGTTGTAACATAGATGTCCACTCTTTCTTTTGTCAGTTATCAGTACTGTTTACAAATACTGAGATTTTCATTCAGAAGAGACATCACATACACATAGCTTGACAAATACAGTCAACAAGCTGAAATGCTTAAAATAAAAATTATGTTTGCAATTCAGTCATTCTGTACTTGCTGAACTAAAAGAGCCAGTGAAGAAGGCTTTCTGTCAAAAAAAGTGATCACTTTCTAGAAAAGATATTTTAGAAGGAAAATATTTAGTTACCTATATTCAAGACTTTACCCTTTGGTTTTCCCCCCCTCCTTCCAAAAATGATTTACCACATTGCTAGATGTTTTCCACATGTCGAGAACAATCAACTATTTAATCTATTTGAATCATTTCTCTGATAGTTTTGGAAGACTAGAGTGTGGCTGTATCACTTCTTTTGCACATCTGTGCTAAATGTGTCTTCTAAATGCACATAAGAATGTCAATTGCTTACATGGCCTATCATTTTTATTTCTGCGATATAAAGTTAAAAGAGCTATGTAATGTCAAAAAAGAAGCAATGGACCTTTCAAGACAGTGTGCTCACCAGCAATGCAGATAAGATATGAAAGAAAACTAAAGATTTCAGCAGTAGTTTCACATTGTGAGCGAGCTACCCACGGCCAGAAGAGGCAGACCCCACTCTGCTCTCATCACCCACCACTTCCCAGACACTCCGTTTCCATCTTTCTTTTTACAAAAAGAAAACTCAACAGTGGAATCTTGTATTTTGAGGAGTTAAAAAAATCCATTGGGCTTAGCTGCTTGCTATATCAAAAAGTGTGAAATAAATCTGGCAACTGACAGCCCAAATTTCTATCATTTTTATACTGATTGTACATATGGGCATTACACGTCAAATTACCAAGGCACGTAACTAGTGGAATTTAACCTGTATATTCATTTGTGGCCATGCAGTAACATAAACCAGTGTGCACATCCATGCTTAAGCAATAATCAGTAGGGCAGAGCACGCCAGAGGATGCTTCCTCACATCTCCTATTCGGGGTCAGTTACACTTTTCACAGCCACCTGAAAATGTTCGGAGTACCAGAGGCCGGAAAAATCAGAGGCCAGCAGGTGGGGGGCTGCTGACCTTTTTGCGTAAAAAGAAGCCACTCTCTCTGCCAACAGACCTCCTCGCTTCTTGTAAATCATCTGGGGCAGGAGAGCAGAAGGTAAGGGAAAGCCACAGAGACACCCACTGAACAGCCTTAGATATGGAGAAAGTTGAGGTGATTAGTGTGAGGCTATAAGATTAGCAAGACCATCAGTAGCCTATGCTGATGACCAAATACAGTAATAAATAACGAAAACAAAATGGACACAGGCACAGACATCTGACAACTTAGAGCTGCAACCGCTATGCCCAGGGGCCAAGCCTCCAGCCAGGACCTAAC